TTGATGTTGACCTTGAGCACCTGGCTGAGGTAGTGCCCACCAGATTTTCCCACTGCAGAGTTCCTCTTTCCCTCCTGTCCCTACTGCCCTCGTTGGAAGAAGTCACCAAGCACAGCCCACACTTAGTGGGGATTTATGTGCCACCTCTTTGCAGGTCACATTGGAGAAGAACCAGGGAGTAGAAAACTCTCCACACTCCGAGAAAAAGGGGTGAAGGGCAGGATCTGGGTGGCAAGAGGAAGGGGGTGCTCAGGCACTGTCTCTCAGACAGCGGAGAGAATTTAGTGGGACATGAAAAGAGGCTGGAATCAAGGATGATCACAGGGTTCCGAGTGGCAGTGATCAGGGGACTGTTTGGGTGTAGAGAGCACTGCATTCGTTGGCAGCCAACTCCATTTCTTGGCTGTGTCACCGTGGCGGAGTCACTTCATCCCTCTGAGTCTCTGTCTGCCCATTTGTTAACCGGGGTTGACCGTTCCTGTCCTTCCTGCCTCCTAGTGCTCTTTGAGAGTGAAATGACAAAATGCAGATGTGAGCACTCAGAAAGCCATCAGGCACAAAGCGTTGTAGTTTCAAAGGCTGGCTAAGGGAGTGCTGGGGCCTTTGGGAGAGGAGGGCACCCAGGAGAGGGTTCTGAATGTCTTAGATAATCCGGGACAAGCCATGATTCACGCTGTGTACTCTGTCATGGGTTTGTGATTGTCACCTGCTGAGGAGATTTCTATTTCAGATACGCTTTCTCAGATGTTCTGTTTCTGGGGGTCTAGTACCTTGGTCTGTTGGGCAAGACGAGGCTGGTTGTAGATTAAAAGGAAGGACTTCCCCTAGTCTTTGTGGCCTTCTTAATACCTGTAGCGGCCTCTGCTTGGGGACACTGAAGGTTACTGGGATTGCCTTACGGATCTCGGTCCCCCAGCCTCACCACCTGCAGTATCTCATAGGCATTTTCACAAGTAATGCATCCAAAAATGGCACTTTGGTTTCTGTCCTTAATGGAGTTTCAGAGATGTGACTGACTTGCCTTGTCTGCCTGTGACAGGCAGCGTGAAACTTTTCAGCTTGCGGTGGGCTATTTATCTGAGTAGCCAGAATCCCTCCAAACTGGATGTCACATAGTGGAGGAATCCCTTTACCTTTATGGGCAAATGGACTCGTGGCTCTTCATATATATTTCCTCACTGTTCAGAAAGTATGCGACCATGCTTTTGGTATTTCATTGTACTATTCTTATTTAAAATTTTTTTTTTAACATTTTATTTATTTTTGAGACAGGGAGAGACAGAGCATGAACAGGGGAGAGTCAGAGAGAGGGAGACACAGAATCTGAAACAGGCTCCAGGCTCTGAGCTGTCAGCACAGAGCCCGACACGGGGCTCGAACTCACGGACCGCGAGGTCATGACCTGAGCCGAAGTCGGACGCTTAACCGACTGAGCCACCCAGGCGCCCCTGTCCTATTCTTATTTTAGCAACGAACTGATGAGCCATGAAAGATTTTAATCATGTCCATGAAAGTTCCAGGGTAAATCATTGACTTGGTACAGTAGAAAGAGTCAGGAAGCTTGTTAGATGTGACTCTGCCAGTAACTTGCTAGTAACTTTGGGCAAGGGATGTAAGCTCTTTGCCCCCCCAGTCTCCCTATCAGTAGAACAAGGGACCAGCCAGGCTCTGAAAGATGGCTCAGTGGCGTAAAAATTAGCAACAGAGCCAGCAGGTGTTAAGAGGAGGGTGGAATTACTGTCATTGCCATATCGCGACTGACTCAGCATTATTTCAAAACGTGTAGACTTGAGCCAACGAACATACATGTGGTGTTAACCAAACTGCCAAAGGCACTTGGGTAAAACGAACTTCTTTATTCTTCTTTAAAAAGGAGCGAGATTCTTTTGTCGATGTTGTTGGGGTGAAATGAACACTCTTCTTTTGGTCTTTGGATTCTGCATTCTCTAATAAGGAAAGCCCAGATCTTCACAAGGGCGTTGTTCTGATATGTGTCTGCCTACCGAGGCTGATGTATGATGGAAAGGCAAGTAGACACGATGTAGGCTGTGCTCATCTCTGGGTGAGAACAAAGGTCACCTCTGGGCAGGAGGACATGGTGTAATATATATTTTCAGAGGGAAATGCTTGCAAAATACAGATGCTGATCCCAATTCTGACCTTTGTGGCTGGTGCCGGCAGTCGGTCTGGCACCTTCGTTGAGACAAAGGGGAAAGCCAAGAAGTGAAATGATATTTTCCTTCCCTCATCATTACTCAGCACGGCTTACTTGCTTAGCTATAAGGAATTCAAGCATCAAGAGAAACTGCACAACAGTATCCAAAAAATGCATTCTCCCTTATGGCCAAGATATCCACTCTGCTCCAGTATTGTTTCTGAGGAGGATGGTCTTATGGATTGCTTTTTTCAGTTAACTTTCCTGTAACTTGCTTATCCGTATTGTTTCAATTCTAGAGGAAAATCGTTCTGAAACTAGAATGTGGGTGAGAATCACCCGAGGAGCTTACTAAAATGATAGATCCCTAATTCCCACCCCTCGTTCAGTGGGGCTGAGGAATTTTTGGATATATGGCCCCGGGGGTTCTGATTCAGGGGGTCCGCAGAGCTGCTTTGCAGATTCTCACCGGGTGCCACGCCCACTAGCGATACTTTATCACACACACTATGTTTGTTCCCTTCATAAGCCAAGTCCTAGTTGCCGCTTTCAGAACCGCCCTGGAGCTTGGATAAATAAATCCTTGCCTGACTCATAACAGTTTGCAACTCAGACAAATAGTATGGGAGAAGCGTAAGTTTGGGAGACAGAAAGGCCTGGGTGTCGAGCTTCCAGCTTCTACTTATTGTTCCCTGAGCAGGTTGCTCAAGAACTTGTTCCATTTGCTTATCTGTCAAATGGGAACAGTATTACTCACATCACCGAGAGGCGGGGGCGGTGGTGACGATGGGATAGAATGACTTGTGCATCAGCACTCAGCACCATGCCTGCCATTTAGTGGATAGATGCTCAATAAATATCCCTTTCCTCCATTCTCACTGGAAGCAGGATTAAGAAACAAAACAAAAATTCATAGTCATATTTTCCACCAGTACTTAAAGCAAATATTGCTAGAGAATCTTTTTTTTTTTTTTTTTTTGGAGTTTATTTATTTATTCTGGGGAGGGGGCGGAGAGAGACGGACAGACAAAGGATCCAAAGCAGGCTCTGTGCTGACAACAGAGAGCCTCATGGGGGCTCAAACTCATGAACCGGGAGATCATGACCTGAGCCTAAGTTGGATGCTTAACTGACTGAGCCACCCAGGCGCCGCAAGCGAAACTTTTTTTTTTTAATGCCCAGGTAAATAGATTCGGGGCCTTGTTACACATCACTTTAAAAGTCAGTGGTTTGTTTTGTTTTGTTTTGTTTTGTTTTTTAGCAATCTGGAAAGGATGCCCCTCCTTAATTGCCTTTGGTAACGCTGACTTCTGGTGTAAATACACATTTCCAAGAGCGATCCCAGGGGGCAGAGAAGGCCACGCAGGCGTGTCACAATGGTGGTACCTTTGCTGACGCTCCCCAGGTCCGGGGCAGAGAATTCGGATCAGGTGTTTAACCTGAAACCACACCTGCTCCTAGTCAAAATCTCCCAAGGACCACCTTGTTGCTCAGAACTCAGCTAGTAATGGATTATTTGGACTGGGTCGTTCTTCCTCTTTCCAGGTGAAATGAGAACGTGAGAGTGGTCTCAGAGAAACAATGCAGCATTACACTTGTGGTGTCCTGCGAGCTCCTTGCTGTAACGGGCTCTCTAAATCAAGTGTCAGCATATCTGCCCACAGCTCTCCCCTGTCCTACCCGGCTTTGCCGTTGCAGGAAAAAAAGTCATCTTTGTTCTTTGTGTTGGCTGATTAATTTTTAGGTTCGCTGTTCTTATCCCATCTCCTGCGTTTGTGGATACTTACGTCATACATTTATGTATATCACATGGTTCTTCCTCCCGAGGACTCAAATCAGGGGGAAAAAAAAAAACTAGCAAAAAGTGCCTCTCTGCATTCTTTGGCTGGAGAAATTGCGGGTTAAATGAAGACCCTTGGTCAGCTCCAGGCCACAGTGTCATCTCTCTGTGTTTTATGGGCCAGGACAGTCTCAATAACTTCCACGTTCTGAAGGCTAAACTCTGGAAACGGGGAGAACAATGCCAGTGAGATGCAGCATATGACTTTAGAGCCTGAAAAGACCTTGGCAGTCCCTTGGTCCAACCGATCCCTTTTGTTTTACAGGAAACGAAACTGAGGTTCGGAGAGACCCCCATAGTTATTGGTAACTTCTTGTTTTAAAAGTTAGCGCCCACACTGTGTGTATCAGGTCATGTGCACACGGCAGGAGGCTCCTCATAGGCCTCCAGCGGGTGAAATGAGCTGCCAGAGGAAGGTCAGGGGTGACTCTGGTAGACCAGATGAGAAACTAGCCAGCACATGCTGTCTAATGAGTCAATAAACCTTTGCTGAGCTCCTTTGGGGCATGAGCATTCTGCTGTGCTCTGACCAGCTGGGGGAAGGAAGTAGAATACAAAATGGGGGGAAGATACGAACTGTAAGAAATTGTCCCCATCCTTGAGGAGCTTACAGTCAATAGTGAACCCCTTACTGAAAGGTGTTTCTAGACCAAAATAAAGACATTTGACAAATACATATTACAAAATATTAAACCATACAAGATCATATATTTAATGGCCCAGTTATGTAGTCCTACAGAGGTTTGGGAGGAAGAAAGAGGGTTGCTGGTTCCCAGAGGGCCAAGTCAAGTGTTTTCCCCCCTGGACTGTTAAAGCCACAGCTCTCTTATTTTTCAGTGTATCTTCATGATTATGGCACAGGGGAGGGGCTCAGTTCATCCTTCTTGAAACAACGTGTGGCTCATTGGGTAACATAATCATGCAGATATTTATGTATGCCCGTAATTGACCCCTTTTGTAGGAATGCTTTCTACTCACATGGGTCTCTTGTTGGTTTTTTTCCAGTGGCGCACCCTCAGGACCCTCACCACCCATCGGAGAAGCCTGTCATTCACTGCCATAAATGTGGGGAGCCATGCAAGGGTGAAGTGCTTCGGGTCCAGACCAAACATTTCCACATAAAATGTTTCACCTGCAAAGGTATGGTGCCTCCAGCTTCCTGGTCTAAAGGCATGTCACAATCTGTGCTCAACCTCAGGATCCCTCCCTTCCCTTTAACCCCATGCTAGGCCACCAGGTGATACGTGAGTGCTCAAAAGCCCTGGCATCACTTATTTTCTCTAATTTGCTTGGAGCCGACTCATGGGGGAGGCTAAGTCCCCCAAAGACTAATGGTACACAGGCCTTTGAATGTTTACTGAGGGCCCTGATCCTGGGAAGAGGGAGAACAGTAAAAACAGTTTTGTGTTTTTCCCCTGAAATGAGAAACTCTTACCCCAAAGTCACCTTGTCCCGACAGCCATTATTTACAGAAGGGCTGGTAAGCTTGTAAGATTAGGGTTCTAACTCACTGGATCCTGTGGGGTAAGCAGGGAGCATGTGTGTGTGCATGAGCATATGTGTGTGTGTGTGTGTGTGTGTGTGTGTGTGTGTGTGTGTGTGTGTGTGTGTGTGTATTGAGAAGTGAGAATTAATCAACAACACTTGGAAGGCCTCCAAGAAGCTAGCAAGTTGAGACTGATTTCCATTAACAAGTCTCCCTTTTGGGGTTTCTAACTGTTGGCGTCTTGGGATGAAATACGCTGCCCTGTTATTCTAGAGCCAGGGCAGGACTGAGCAGGAAAAGAGAGGAAGAGGAGAGTGGCTTTGTGTGTTTGTTTGAGCTGAGGGCAGGTGGGGAGCTCAGGCTGGGTTGAGGGGTACAGGAGGAGGGACAAGACCATGAGCCTTCTCTGTAGCTCACCCTGCCCTCTGCACACGCTGGCCTCTCTCCTCCCTGGATGAGCATTTCCTTCTTGGTGTCTTCTCACGGTATGAACTCAGCATTGTCATCTTAAGCCATCCATCCTTGGCCATCTTGGTAGGTGGACTCCAGGCTACCGAGTGACTATGAAATACATGAAAACAGGAGGGGCAGGGCCTTATCTGGAGTCCACAGCTGATTGTTTCACCGTGGGTAAACTTTTCAGGAGAAAGAGCACTGACAAATGGCTGGGTGAGAAGATGGAAGGGGAGGGGAGGACATCAGTTTAGCTCCCATTGAGCATGACAAAGGGCTGCAATGCGCATTCTAGAGAGGATTCTTTAGTCCTTCCGCAAACACCTAGGAGTAAGTACCAGACATCATTTTCAGATGACTCAAGTTGGCCTTCCAGAAACATCACGGTCTCACCCAGGGTGCTGACCGTGCTGCTGCTCTGCGTGGCTTGAGTCTTACCATTGCCACCGAGCAGCTCTGTGATCTCAGGCAACTTACGTCTCTCCGTGGCCCCATGTCCTTATCTGTACAATAAAGAGACTAGACCATGGGATATTTAAGTCATCCTAGGTCCGAGGTTTGCCGATTCCGTATACACATAACAATGTGTGTAATAGAGAACCCAGAGGTACTGAATTAGAGCCTCCTACCATGTCAGAGAAGAGGTGTTTTCTGGTTACATCCAGATTGGTTAACTGAGAGCCAGGCATTATATTCTGTTTCATTTTTTGCTCATAAATTGCCTGAGACATGGCGCAAGGAGTAGATTTAGATTTGGTTTGAAATAAATATGGTCCACACACAATGGTGGCTTTGCATGTATTCTGTATTTCTTTTTTTTTTTTTATGTTTATTTTGAGAGAAAGAGTGTGGGGGCGGGGCAGAAAGAGAAGGTGAGAGAGAATCCCAAGCAGGCACCAAGCTGTCAGCACAGTGCCCAACGTGGGGCTCAGACTCGTGCACTGTGAGATCATGACGTCAGCCAAAACGAAGAGTCGGACACTTCACCAACTGAGCCATCCAGGTGCCCTCTGTATTTCTAATGGAAAGTACCAAGCGTTAGTCTCAGGTCTGGGTTGTCACTGTTCAGCACACTAAGGTATTAGAAGACATGTTTGTTTATCCCCCATGGGAAGCTTCCTTGCTTTTTTTTCTTTTCTAGTTTAAACCTAAGGGCTGAATGTAAGTTACTTATGTTGGGACGTTTTCCCATATACTTTATTTCATAGTACAAATGTGTTCCTGAAAAGTCGAGTGTTTATATAAATTGAATCGTATTTTAGGAGAACTTGCTATTTGTAGGAACTATTTTTAGTTTAACAAAACTTTACTAAAATAAATGTCTTCTATTCCTATAAATTTGTATTTTCTCACACTTGATCTGTCAATGTCTATTTTCCTATGTCCCGAATTCCTGGGGTTACCCTTTTCTTTAATACCCAAAGAAAATGGCGTATGCACCTCATTCGTTATACCCTAGCAAGTCCATTCCTTTTCCCCAAGATTCTAGAGTGATGTTGCCCAAATAGAAATACTATGTGAGCCATGTACGGAATTGTAAATTTTTGAATAGCTGTGTTAAAAAGGCATAAAGGGATGGGTGCAATGAACCTTCAGAGTGTCTTTTATTTATCTCTACATACGCGAAATGTTATTTCAACATGTAATTAATATAAAAATTATTGAAATATTTGACATTATTTTTTTTCATACGTGCTTAATCGCACATCTCAGTTTGGACTGGTCACGTTTCAAGTGCTCAGTAGCCCTTTGTAGTTAGTGGCTACAGTATGGGAAGCCCAGCTCTAGAGAGCCCTTGAGATTTGCATTCTTGTGGTCCCCTCTTGCTCCAACTTCTTGCCAATACCAAATTCTTGGTCTCCCTTTTTGAATGCTGCTCCTTGGGCATTGCTTCACTTCACACTGGCCACCATGCCTCTTTATTTCCCAAGATCCCACTAACATAAGGCAGCTGTTTTCGGCAGACTTTACTGAAGGTTTGGGATAATGGAAGGAAGTTATAGCCCAGAACAGGCAAGACTGTCCTGATATTCTCAGACCATGTCCAAAACAAGAAGTTTCTCATTAGCAGGTGCCCCTCCTATCTGTCTGTCTATCTATCTATCTATCTATCTATCTATTAATAGACTTTGATTTTTTTTTAATTTTTTTTTTTAACGTTTATTTATTTTGGGGACAGAGAGAGACAGAGCATGAACGGGGGAGGGGCAGAGAGAGAGGGAGACACAGAATCGGAAGCAGGCTCCAGGCTCTGAGCCATCAGCCCAGAGCCTGACGCGGGGCTCGAACTCATGGACCGTGAGATCGTGACCTGAGCTGAAGTCGGATGCTTAACCGACTGAGCCACCCAGGCGCCCCTAGACTTTTATTTTTAGGGTAGTTTTAGGTTTACATAAAAAGTGAACAGGAAGTACAGACCGGGGCCATTTCTCATACTTACTCAGAACTTCCACCTGCCACCATCTTGGTAGGTCTTCCTCTCTCTACAAAGACCCTTCTCCCCTCCGTCCCTGGGACCCCCATTTCCTTCTCCCTCGCCCTCCTGACTCCACATTGTCTTAGAGTTTCTACTTCTTATGAATCCATTAGGATGGTTTCCCAGAAGAAACAGAAGTCTTCTCCTTAAGGAATGTGGTCTTCCTCTTAACCCCCATGGCCCAGACTGCAGCTAAGTCTTAAAACAAGTTTTTTTCTTTCTTCCCATTACATCTAAAGCAAAAATGCCATGTCCAGATAGTGAGCTAATATCCCAGGACAGAGGATTTGGGGGAGAGAGAAGTTGCTAAAACCAGCCTGGGCTTTTGGGCGAGAGCTGGCCAAGTGCAGAGGAAGAACATTCAGGTTCTGACTGTGATTTGGGGGCGAGGCAGAGTTTCTCCCTCAAGTTCTCTCCCCTCCCTCACGCCCTACTCTCCTTCACTCACATACCTTGCTGCCAAAGCCTCATAGTTCTTGAATGGGACCAGAAGTAGCCTTCCACAATTAGAAAGAACGTCCTAAAATGCAGATACCTATGGGAATAAAAAGCAGAAATGAACTCTTTCCCTAGGATTGGGTTTTGAAAGGAGACAGAAAAAGAGGACACCAAACATCTTACATGAGAGCCAGATGTGTATGAAGGTAGGAAAGGGTTGCTTTGGAGGAACTAGAGTTCAGAGCACAGACTTAAGCCAGTGATCAGTCCATGAGTTCGCAGGGTTAACTCTAACAGAATCAAGGTTGGTGAGCCAGAGTTTTGTCGGTGAACCCATCTCACTCCCTAAAATGTCTGACATCTTGGGATCTGATGGTGTAGGAGTTATTTATTCGATTAGAAAATGTTAACTGGACACATACTCCTTGTGGAATATTATGCTAAGTGCTGAAAATAGGAAGAGACAGCATACCATGCTTGTCCTCGAAGATCTCATAGGGTATTTGGAGAGACATACAAATAAGCAACATTTATGATACTGGGTAATAAGTGCTGAGATGGAGAAATAGATAAGAGGCAGAGAGACTCGGGGGTGAGAGGATAGTAGTTGATTTGGAAATAGTGTAAGGTAGCAGCAGGAGAATGGGAGGAGATTTAAGAGACACTGAAAGTTAAGGTTGATAGGATTTGGTGACCGTATGTGAGGCATGAAGAAGGATCCAGGGTTCCAGTTGGACTGCCTGTGTGGACAGATGGCTGCTGCCCACTAAAGAAGTACAGGAGCACTGGACAGGGTAGTTCAAGGCAGAGAGTTCAGCCTCTCTGGGCTACACTGAGGTTGAGGACACATGGTGCATTCAGAGTCCAGTAGGTTTAGCACTCAAGAGGTAGATCATGGTTTGTGTTGAGAAGAAGGTTGTTGTTGTTGTTTTTTTTAATTATTTCTTTTTATTGAGTAAACTCTACCCCCAGGGTGCCTGGGTGGACCAGTTGGTTAAGCATCTGACTCTTGGTTTCTGCTCAGGTCAGGATCTCGCAGGTTCTTGAGTCCGAGCCCTGCATATGGCTCTGTGCTGACAGTGTGGAGGCTGCTTGGGATTCTGTCTCTCTCTCTCTCTGCCACTCCACTCCCCCAAATAAATAAATAAACTTAAAAATAAATAAATAAAAGTTTCTTCCTTGTATATAAAAAAAGTAAACTCTACCCACAACGTGGGGTTCAAACTCATGACCCTGAGATCCAGAGTCACATGCCCTACTGACCAAGCCAGCCAGGCTCCTCTGGAA